GCCTGTGTGCAGCAGGAGGCTTGGGCACCATCTGGTCAGTGAGAGTCAATGTTCTGTGTCCCCACACATACACCAGGCTGCCAACCCCTGTCCCACTGGGCCCCAGGTTCTCCAGGCTTTAGGGAGGGCCTGGGGCGGGTCTGAGGCAGGTCTGGGGCACAGTCATGCTTCCCACTGGAGACGGCTGAGGTCACCATTTACTTTCAATATTTGTCCCTGAGTCACTGCCAGGGCCTGGGAAGGGGAAACCCAGCCACTGCCGGCTGAGGCCACCCCTGCAGGCCCTGGGGACAGACACCACGCCCTGAGTCTGGGGTCCAGCGGCAGCAGTCTGTGAAGCCAGGAGCCCACTCCTGCTCTGCTACCCCCGCCCCATCAAGCCTGCTGCTGGGATCTGCAGGGATGGATGGTGCCTTTCCAGTCCCTTCCATCCATGTCAGGTCTGTAGCCCACAAGCCGCCCACCATGGTCCTCACAGCTCTTGGCTCCCACACACCGAAAGCCGGCTGCCGCTCTGGAGGACTCGCGCCTCCGTGCATGGAATTCCCCAGCATGGAGAGGGTGGCAACTCGGGCCACAGGACAGTGGCCGCTGGTGACACTGGGAGAGACTGCGAGGGGGGAAGCGCCAGCCCCGCCCATGCGCTACAGCCCCACAAGCAGCCTCCCAGGCCATCCAGGGAGCATCTCGGCTGCAGGGGGCCTCGCCTTCCACGTCTTACTCCCACTTAGAGCAGGGTTCTCCGCCCCGGGGGGGGAAGTTAGGACCTCTTGGTGCTTGGACTGCACCAGGGACCAGGGACTTCAGGATGGCTTGGAGCGGGGCCCAAGGCACAGCGGTACTTTTTAAATGCTAACCAGGTGTTGGTGGTGTGCAAAGAAGGTGGTGGGCCACTGACTGAAAAAGCAGGCACACGTGCTGGTCTCGCGGTTAAGACACCAGTTAGGACACCTCTGTCCCACACTGCGGTGCCTGATTGAGCCCTGGCTCCAGCTCCCTGCTAATGCAGACCCTGGGAAGCAGTGGTAATGGCTCAGATGATCGGGTTCCAGTCCATATTTAGTTTCAATACTAAATTTCTCAGATCTTTGGTAGCCTGGCGTGTGCCACCCCCTTCTCCATCCGCAAGAACGATGCTTGTCCTCCAGGGCACAACTCAAATGCACCCTCTTTGACGGGGCCTTCCTTGGCCTCCCTGCCCCTCGTTAATAATATTAGGCATTGTGCTTGGGTGGGTGGGTGCTGGGAATTGTCTGGGTTCCAACCCTGCCTCTACTATGTCCTAGCTGTGCCATTGCCACGTCTGTCCACTTCTGGAAGCCTCAGTCTCCTCATCTGTGACATGGGAATAATTATAATAAAGGTGCCTGCTTGACAGGGTTCTTGGAGATTAAATGCAATAGTCAGTTTGTAGCAGCAGTGGTCAGCAGGCGCTGGCTGTTTCCTTAGCGCAGGTTCTTTTCAGCCTTGTCTGTGCCTTCCAACTGTGAGCTCCTTGAAGGCAGCGCCTGTGTCTGCCCTGGCCCTGTGTCCCTAGGCCTTTGTCTACACGGTGCTTGCACACAGCAGCACGCGAAGTGTTGGACGAATAAAATCCCTCAATAAATGCTTGGGGGGATGCTCATGTGACATTCAGATTTACTTCCCAGTTTAGCTCGGGAGTGAATCCAGAGCCCGTGTAGCCATGTGTTCCACAACTGTCCCTCTTATCGAGTGCTTTCTATGTGCTAGCTTATAAAAACCTGAAGATAAAGACCCAACTGCTGCCATCGAGGAGCGGAGAGCCTGATGGAGCAGCCAGACTGGCCAGCTTGCTCTTTTCTTTCTTGCACTGTAACTGGCCCAGCAGTGATCCAGGCACACCGGAAGGAGGAGGCGCCAGCACAGAGCGAGCAGGGGGAGGGAGCTCACCAGGTGGGGAAGCAAAGACGGCGTGTGAAGGAGCAGCACCTGCAAAGCCAGGGAGGCCCAGAAGCCGTGGCACCTTCCGAGGATGGCGTGGGACGGCAGGAAGGAGCTCAGGGCCCAGAGCGGCGGGGTGGGACTGGGCGGGCAGTTGGTGGCTGGAATGGGCCGTCGGGACTTCAGCCAGCTGGCCAGGGTGCTCGGGCGCACCCGAGCTGGTTTCCTTCTTCAAGGCCATCCTGGTGGCCACTCCTCACCGTGGTGAGTCCCGCCTTAAGAGTCCCTGTCCCCGCCCGGGTGAGGCCTGACAGGCGCGTCAAGGTGTGTGGCTGCTTCTGGGTTAGAAGGGCAGACAAGAGTGGGGGTGGAGGAGGATGGTGGCAGGCAGGTGTGCTGATGATCCTGGTAAGTCTCATTCACTGCAGCTGTAGCTTTCAGGCCAGCTCTGCTGGAAACATCAGGCAGCCTATGACAAACTGGCAAGGCATGGCGGCTAGGCAGGAAGCCTGCCTCCTCTGCTTGTGGGAATCGGGACTCTGCCCTTTACTGTGGTAGTACTTCAGGCATCTAATCCCCGACTCGGGACCTCACTCTGTACTTCTGCACAACGGAGGGGCGAGCTAGGTGATCTTTCAACTCTGCAATTCCAAGGAAGGAGGAAGTTCAGGGAGCAGCCTGGGGTTTGCAGATAAGCCAGGGTGGGGACACCCAGACAGGACAAGGTCTCTCCTAGAAGGGAAATCGGCTTTACAGGGTGGTGCATCTGCAGATACAGAGGAAAAACAAACCCACAAGCACCCACAACGCGGTCACCTGTGCAGTCCTGGGAGCACCCACAACACAGCTCCCCCTGCAGTCTTGGGAGGTGTGGTCATCATCACTCAGCTCTGTTCTCAGCCACCCACAGGGAGGGAGTGTTGGCCTCCTCCAAGTTGAAGGTCCCCTTCCCAAGACTACACCCACTTGGGTACTGTTTCAAGTTCGGGTCCCCCGAACTTGCATCTGATGGGCTGCAAGCTGTGGTTTCCGTGAGTGTAGGCTTGATTAATCTGCTAGAGTGGCTCACAGAATTCAGAGACAGCCATTTCCAAGTGTACTGTCAAGGACATCGGAGCGGTAGAAATGAGCACCGCATGAAGAACTGGTCACACGGGGTCAGGCCTGGAAGGGTCCCCATGGAGTTGGGGGCGCCACCACCTGGCCGGGGATGAGCTCTTGCCCCCACGTGCTCGGTGTCCAGACGCTGTCCCATTGCAGTCCTGTTGGGCTTTTGTGGAGACACAGGCACTACTGAGGCATGGTCAGCTGGTCTTCCATCTGCTGGTTCACTTCTCAAATGGCCTCAATGGCCACAGCTGGGCCAGGCCAAAGCCGGGAACGCCATCTGGGTTTCCCACGTGAGGGGCGGGGCCTCAGTACAGAGGTCATCTGCAGGCACATTAGCAGGGAGCTAGTTAGGAAGTGGAACAGCTGGGACTGTAACTGGCGCTTCAACATGGGATTCAGGTGTTCCAAGTGACAGCGTAGCCCTCTGTGCCGAGTGCCGGCTGTTATGGCTAGTTTTTAAAAAAAATACAAATGCCCACACATGGATTAAGAGTTATTGTTTACTGAGCCAAGGCTGAGTTTACTTTTTTACTGTTTACTTGGCCAGGCTGAGTGTTTACTGAGCCAAGCCCTGCGCTGGTTCAGGAGGTCCAGGGCCCAGGTGGGACAAGGGTCCCAGGAAAGCACCCAGGAGCTCAGAGAAGATGACCTCTAGTGGAGACAGCCTGGAGCCCAGGAGGTGTGGAGGCGCAGAGAGAGCTGGCAGGAGGAGGGGCTGCTCGGGACAGGGAGCAGCCGAAGTCAGGCCAGCAGGCAGGAGCCGCTGGTGGTCTATTGTTGAAGCAAGGAGCTGATGGGGAAATGTTCCTTTTCCTGCACGCATCACAGGTGTCATTATCTGCGTCGGAATTTGCTGCATGTCTGTGCAGTTTAGTCACTGCAGGAACTTGGTTCCCAGTGCAATGCCTAGCACATGGCACATAGTATGTGTTCAGTTAAATTGGCGTTACATGAAACAAGGAACTAATTCCTATGTTGATGAGGTTAGATCAGAAAGGGCTATGAAACTGTGAAAATGGGGAATGTTATCCCAAGGGCAATGGGGAGCCACTATTGGTCTTTTCTTACATATTTCTTTCTTTATTTAAAAGGCAGAGTTACAGAGAGAGAGGGAGAGAGATCGTCCATCCACTGGCTCACTCCTCAAATGGCCACAATGGCTAGAAGCCAGGAGCCCCAAACTCCATCCGGGTCTCCCAAGGGGATGCAGGGGCCCAAGCACTTGTGCCATCTTCTGCTGCTTTTCCAGGGCATTATCAGAGAGCTGAATCGGAAGTGGAGAGGCTGGGAAGTGAACTGATGTCCACAGGGGATGTTAGCGTCGCAGGAGGTGGCTTAACTCAGTGGGCCACAGCGCCGGCCCCTCTGGAAGTCTTAAATGCAGGGGTGCCTCGGTCAGCCTGGCACGCCAGGAATCCCTTTTTTTGGCTGCAGAGCTGGAGTCCAGGTGGTAGAGGGGCGACCTGAACTCAAGGGCCGATGTGGGGACAGCACAGATCCCAGAGCTGAATGAGGGAGGCTTGAGCCGGGTGTGCAGGGGCCGACTGGATGCCTGCCGTGAGGGGGCGGGGGGCTTGCACGTGACAATGCATTCTAAACCATGACGATGTATACCAAAACGTTTAGCCCAAGAAGTCGTGTCCAGTGCCACTTCGTGACCTCCCTCCCGTGCCGCTGGTCACCCCCCCCCCCCCCCCCCGCCTATCTCCCTCCTGGCTCCTCAGCCCAGTCCCGACGGCTTCTTCAGGGGTCCGCGCGGCCGCCACAGCCGGATTCGCGCTCCCGGGACGCATCCGAAGGCTTCCTGAGCAGGCACTGACTGGAATAGCCGATTTTGTGTGTGTCAGAAATGAAAAAGTCGTGTTTGGATTTTTGAGGCACTGTTCGGAGGCGTGGGGGCCGGCTGGGGTGGAGGAGGGGTAGGGAGGACGCGCAGCATGTGTGTGAGGGGAGGGCTGAGGGGGTCCCTAGCTGCGGGGCGCGGGGCCCCGAGGGGAATGCGGGATTTGGCAGCTGCGCGGGTCTGGGGGAAACACGTCCGCGTGGTGTAGGAATCAGAAAATGCTGGAAGCCCCGATGTGAGTGGGGAGCGGTAAGGGTGTGGACGCGAGGGCTGGGGGTGTCGAGGAGTCACAGCCTCCGAGGAGGGGCAGAGGAGTGAGCGGTCGGGGACGGGCACAGCGCCCTGGGCCCTCATCACCACCTCCTGTTATTCATCCACCCGGCAGGGCCGTGGCCAGGGGCCTGGGAGAGGGACCCCAGCTCCGCAGGTCACGGGAACGGCGACTTCTGCAGCTTCTCCAGGCCCGGCTCCCTGGCTGGCTGCACTTTCTCCTCAACCCACTCGTTCTTTCATTTCTGCAGAGAAACCTAACCCCTTCCCTGCCGGGCCCCTGGACTGCCTCGCCTGAGGTCCCTCAGATGAGGCCTCTGGCCCAGCGATTGCGCCGGCCGCTGCCTGGCTGTGCGCTACTGGGTGGGGTCGCGGGCGCGCCCCGGGCCGGCCCCGCCGGGCTCGCTCCCGCCCCTGCGCGCTCCCCCGGGGCGTTGGAGAAAAAGGCTCGGCGCCGGCAGCAGCAGGTGGGGCGCAGGGCGCGGGCCCCGGATGCTGGGCGCCAGGGCAGAGGGGCGCAGGGACCTCTGAATCAGGCACCGGGGACAAAACCCCGGACTGTAGGCTTTGCCGAGATCTGCGGCGCAGATCCTCCGCCCGAGGGTAAGTTCACACGACTCCGTGGTGTCCCTGAAGGCAGAGTTCGGACCAGACGTGCAGCGGTCCCCAGGCCCTGCGGTCCCTCCGCCCCCGGCCGTGGCTGGGAGCACGTATCACTGCTAAGATGCAGTGACGTGGGGTCGGCGCTGTGGTGTAGCGGGTAAAGCCGCCGCCTGCAGGGCCGGCATCCCATATGGCGCGGGCTAGAGTCCCGGCTGCTCCACTTCCGACCCAGCTCTCTGTTATGGCCTGGGAAGGCAGTGGAGGATGGCCCAAGTCCTTGGACCCCTGCATCCGCATGGGAAACCTGGAAGAAGCTCCTGGCTCCTGGCTTCGGATCGGCCCAGCTGCAGCCCCGTCTATTTGGGAATTGAACCAGTAGATGGAAGACCTCTCTCTCTCTCTGCCTCTGTAACTCTTTCAAATAAATAAATAAATAAATCTTTAAAAAAATGCAATGACGTGATTCAGAAGTGATGTGTTTTGAGGATCTTGCTTTTAAAAACAGAACTTATTTTCTCCTCCGTTTTTATACTTTAGCAACTGGTTTGCAAAACTGAACATTAAACAGCTCCCGGAAGCAGCACCGGCTGGCCCCAGCAAACCACCAGCACGGCCTGGGCCAAGGGAAAAGGAAGAGACCCCAACCCCCAAAAGGTCAGGGGGCCCTGTTCGCTCGGGCGCACCGTCTCTCCCCGCCCAGCCGCGGCACGCCAGCCGCCTGTCATCAGAATCCCGGTGCGGAAGCAGAGGCGGGGCGGGCAGAGCCTGGCCCTGGGCGCCCCCTCCCTGCCCCCAGCACATAGGCCCTGTGGGCCCGGCGCACCAGCCCCGCAGCCGCAGAGCCAGGAAGTGCGGTGGAGCAACGTCCTTCCCCGCGGAGGTGCGACTTCCTGCGAGGGCGGGAATTTCCACAGCGCGCAGCCCCGCGGTTGCTCAGTCATCCCGAGGAAGCGCAAGAAGAGCACACAGGGGCCGGGGCCTCTCTGTCTCAGCCTCTCTCCCTCCCTGGCTGCCAGGGGCCTGCGCGGGGTCTGCGCAGAGGTGGATGGAGGAGTTTGGGGCGGGCGGGGTGGGGGTGGGGGTGGGGCGCCGCTCCACCGGGGTCCATTTCTCAGCAGCGGGAATGACAAGGAGTCTTGAGTGCGTTCTCAGATTCTGAACGTCTTGGCGCTAGGCCTTGGGGGCATCCGATGTAGCGACCCTTGGCTGCCTCAGGACATGGTTGTACTCTGGCTTGGGGTTCCTGCCGAGGACCCACTCACGGATACCCCGGCTGGCTCCCGCCTGAAGTGTGTGGAACCTGGAGAAAAGGGGTCGCCTTCTCACCACCCCCCAAGGATGCCGGGGCCCCCTGGCTGATGCCCCTGCACTGTAGATGGCCGGCTCCGCCCCCAGCAGGCTGCCCTTGGAAGACCTCCTTTCTGTGTAGAGGTCTCGCCTTGAGTGTGGGGTTGATGTGTGTACTCTCGTTTCTAAGCACAAGAACGCTGGGATCTTGGCCCTCATTCTTTGACTCCCTCTTGGAGAGGGGGCGCTGGGGAGGAGGAAGGCGTGCGGACCTTTGTTCTAACCTGAGTGGGGACCCAGCTCAAGGGGGGGCCTCCGTTCTGAGCAAGTGGACACGGAGGGGGGGAGTGCAGGGGGGGAAGATTGCTGGCTGTCAGTCACGGTCACACGCCATTCATGGGGTGGTGAGTGGGTCTGCTTCCCCATTGGGTTTCGAGGCGCACCAGGCCCGTTTTAAGCAATCGCAAAATCCAATTAACGAAACCAAAATAAAAAACAGAAATGAGGAGAGGGCAGTTGAGTAATACTTAAAATTCCCTGGCCAGCTCCTGATCTACCCGGTGCTCAGAAGCCATGTGGTGTGGGTGGGGGGGTGCCTGCCTCTTAGACACAGAGCAGATGTCCTACTGCCAGGCTTGGTCGTTAGTTCTTAATTGGCCCGCAGCTTACCGCTGAGAGCGTTTGCATGGATCCCATGTGCTGCCGCCTGACTCCAGGCAGCCTCACCTGGGTGAGGCAACGACTCCTTATTTCCTTTATTTTGAACGTTTCTCCCCAAATATTAACATTTTCCCACCAAGAGACCCTGTTCTAGCTGTAATTCCATCTGTTTACAATGGTTGAAAGTTTAATCTCTTTTTAGCATTGTTTACTTGGAAAATATTTTGGGAGGTTTAAAAATCAGACACGGCCACTGCAAGGCTCAAGTGCAGGGCTAGGGCGCCATCTCGTGGCACATTCTGAATATGACAACGTTGACCCTGCACAGAGCCTCTTATAAAGCGGAAAATTAGCTGATTTTAAAAAGGTGGGAAAAGAAGTGCAAGGAGCTACACGTGTAATTGATAAAGGGCTTGTGTCAGAATTTAAAGAAAACTTAGAAATGGATGTAAAACAATGTGAAAATGCAAGACAGGCTTAAAGGAGCAACTTATAAAATTGTGAATTTATTAAAGATGTTTAACTTCTTATTCTTAGAGACTGTTGTGGGAGAAGAGGTGGAGAAAAATCCCAAAATGCCGTGGATTCTCCCCAGGACAGTGGAAGCCTGTATACGCTGAAAATAACTGCTCAGGTAATTCAGAATCTACCCACCAGGGGGCGGACTTCACTTTAGTTCTTTTAAATTTGTGCAACAGAAATGCAAATTAAAACCACAATGAAATGCCACCACCTGGCCTCCAAGAGGGTTAAAACGGAAAGACTGACAATGCTTAGGTGGCAAAATGTGGGTCAGCGGGCCCTCTCATTGCTGGACGGAGTACAAATTGGTACAACATTGGGAAATTGTCCCCTATTATCTAAAAAAAAAAAAAAAGATGTTCTGTGACATAGAAACTTGCCTCCATCATACATGCCCAACAAAAATGTGTTGCTCGTATACACTCGCTAAGAGGCATACAAGATTATCATAGGAGCATTATTGGCAATAGCCAAGAACTGGATCGGAACAGGAGCAGCTGGGACTTTACCCAGCACCTTAATAGCGGGTAAAACTGCTGCCTGTAGTGCTGGCATCCCTTATGGGTGCCGGTTAGAGTCCTGGCTGCTCCACTTCCGATCCAGCTCTCTGCCATGGCCTGGGAAAGCAGTAGAAGATGACCCAAGTCCTTGGGCCTCTGCACCCATGTGGGAGACCTGCAAGAAGCTCCTGGCTCCTGGTTTCCAATCAGTTGTGATCCAATCTGGCTGCTGCAGCCATCTGGGGAGTGAAGCAGCAGATGGAAGACCTCTCTCTGACTCTGCCTCTTTGTAACTCTGCCTTTCAAATAAATAAATAAATCTTTAAAAAATACATTTAACACTTCAATTATAAAGTTTTAAAAAGTTAGAGTTTGAAGAGTATAGTGGGTTACACAGACAGGAGGGTGTAGGCAATTGGGCAGGAAGAATCATAGAGGCAGGAGGAAGAAAAGCAGGTACAAGTGGCAAACCAATTTCCAGCCACAGATTATCTACCAGGGAGTGTTCCCTCCTGTACCTGTCCCAAGATGTCTTGCTGAAGGCCACTGTTGTTTGGACTTTTTAAAAATTATTTCCTTGGGGACAAGTTTCCATGAGGGGAACAGCTATTTTAATGGTCTAATTTATAAATTTTGCCAGAAAGATTGTACCAATTGATAGTAACCTAAGAACGTCTGAAAGTCAAGTTTTTCAATGCTTTTCCACAGTAGCTTTTTCAAACACCGTTAAAAGCTTATTGGGGCAGGCTACGGTGCAGCTGTTAAGAAGCCTCTCGGGGTGCCTGCACCCCATGTCAGGACACCTGCGTCTGATTCCAGCTTCTTACTAATGTGCACCCTGGAAGGCAGCTGGCAGTGGCTCAAGTGTGTAAGTCCCTGCCACCCACATAGGAGAGACCCAGAGCGAGTCCCTGGCTCCAGGTTTCCACCTGGCCCAGAACTGGCTGTTGCAGGCATTTGGAGAATGAATCAGCAGACGGGAGAACTCTGTCTCTGCCTGGCTTTCAAAGATAATAAATAAGGAAATTATTGATTTAACATTTGCAAGACAAAACCTAAGTTGGATTCATTTATAATTCTCTAATGATTAGTGGAACTGTACATTTTCTTTGAAAATGTCTGACCATAACTTCCTCTCCTGCACCCTTCCCAAGCAACTTGACACTTGCATTTTTGTCCAGTGAGAAGTCTGTTCTGTTTAGGGATCTGCGTTTGAAGGTTCATATATTTTATTAGTAAATTTGTACCTTTCTTGGTTGTCACAGTCTCTTCTGTTCTTTTTTTTTTTTTTTTCCCAAAGATTTTTTATTTACTTGAGAGGCGGAGGCAGAGGCAAAGAGAGAGAGAGAGAGGTCTTCCACTTGCTGGTTCGCTCCCTAAATGGCTGCAATGGCTGGAGCTGGGCTAGTTCGAAGCCAGGAGCCAGGAGCTTCTTCCTGGTCTCCTTGCGGGTACAGGGACCTAAGGACTTGGGCCATCTTCTACTGCTTCCCCAGGCCGTAGCAGAGAGCTGGATCGGAAGTGGAGCAGCCATGACTCCATCCCGCTCCATATAGGATGCCGGCACTGCAGGTGGCGGCTTTACCAGCTAAGCCATGGTTCTGGGCCCTATCTCTCCCATTCTAATGGTTACTTTCTATTCTTCCTTTGATGAATTTCTTTTACATGTGTTCCTGTGGTTACTCTTCTCCATTTTGCACTCTAACATTTTTCTATTACCTTAGTAGTAAGTGACACGTATGACTTACTGTGATACACATTCCGCCTACCCCACATTGCGATGAGCCTGTTTTCTTCTAAGCAAGGTTTCCAAGTTGATAACTTCTTACTTCTTTGGATGTTAAAATGTTTCTGAAGGGGTTCCATGGTTAAATACCTTTAGAAAACAATGAATCAGACAGAACCAAACAGCTTCCTTTATGACGGTGCTTACCAGACCTTAGCTATGAAGATTTATTCCTTGACCAGAGTATCTATTGAGCCCCTACTCCGAGGCACTCTAGCCTGGGAAGACAGCAGCGAACAAATTGGCCTCGTGCCTGCTGTGTGTTTCTGGGAGCCGACATCATGCACAGGTTCTTCTCCAAGGTATCCTAGCAGAATCCCTCCCAGCACCACCTATTCTGCACATTGTTCCACAGGACTTCCCCACTGAGGCGTTGTCACAGCATGAAGTGAAAGACAGGAATCAGCCTCTGTTTTTCCTTATCAATCCGTCCACAATCTTTGGTAGAATATGACACACGATTTTTCTTTGTGTGGTCTGTCCTCTTCTGTTCATCTGCCTTAGATATTTTGTTTCCATTCTGGGCTGTGTCATCACACTGCATGAACTTTATCCAAAGAAGGAGAGCGGCTGGCATTGTGGTACAGCGAGTAACACCGCCACCTGCCATGCCGACATCACACATGAGCATCGGTTCTAGTCCCAGCTAATGCACTTCCCATCCAGCTCCCCGCTAATGCGCCTGGGCCCCTGCAGCCCACACTGCAGACTCAGATGGAGTTCCTGGCTCCTGGCTTTGGCCTTGGCCCAGCCTTAGTCATTGTGGCCATTTGGGGAACGAACCACCAGATGGAAATGTCTCTCTGTGTCTATCTCCCTCTCTTGTGACACTCTGCCTCTCAAACAAATACTTCTTAAAACACACACACACACACAGACACACACACAGAGCAAGGGGAACCTTTTGCTTTCCCACTACTGGCTGTTGCTGAGATGGGGCCCCATGGGAGGCCCGAGCGTGAGAGCTGAGGGTGTAGAGCCACTGGAAGCTCTGAGCCTCCATGGAGCCGCTGGCCACCGGGATGGGCAGCCTGGGCTGGGGGACGAGTGGCAGGCAAACTGGGAGTTGTTGAGTGCTGGCGAGGTGCTCGTCACACTGACTGTTACCCAGCATCCCACTCTGCAAATGTGCAAACTGAGGCAGCTCAGTCTTGACCAAGCCAGGTCCCAGCTGCTGCTCTTGCCCTCCTCCACTCTGTGGCAGCCACCCCCAGCACTGCCACCCTGTGTGTGGACCATCTCCCTCCCTCTCTCTCCGCTGTTCTCTGGCTTGATGTTTCGTTGCTTTCATAGCTCAGGCCGTGCTTGGGGATGCACAGGGACACAGGATGCCCAGGAAGACGGGGAACGTGGGTTCTCGCTGCAGTCCTCCCTCCTTGGGTCCTCCTGGTGGCCGTGAGAGTGGCCCCAGGGGCCCCTGCTTCGCCACAATGCCAGCCCCACTCCAGTGATTCTGTACCAGGGAGAACCTGTCACTGCGTGTCTAAAATATGAACCTCTTCATCCACTGAGCCAAGATTTACTGAGGCCACTTTCTACCAGGCGTTGTACTGGATACTAAGGATGGGAAGCCGGGCCTGGACCTGTCCTCGGAGTGTTTGCCGTCTAGGGGACTCGGGTTAGCTGGGCTGTGATGTAAGCATTGAAGCCCGAGAGACATGGGAGAAATAAGCCAGTGTGATTCTAACCTGGAGTCCTCAGGTCTGTGTAGGCTGCTGAGATGGTCCCAAGAGGGACTTGGGGTTGGGTGGGGGATCAGGGCTCTTCCTACCGAGGCCACTTGTGAAACTGAAAATGAGAAGCGGGTTCAGGGATGGGGGTGGTGGCTTTAGAGTACAGGACATGGTTGGTAGTGAACTTGAGTTTCAGGTGGGTGGGGGAGGCATTTGTTGTGAGAGGGGAGGATGAGGACAAACACTGTGCCAGCACTAGCTGTGCTTGTCCTGGGGACGTGGTGTGGGAACTGTGTGTGTGTGTGTGAGAGAGAGAGAGAGAGAGAGAGAGGGGTGGGGGGGGCAGCTCGTGGGAGCTCCAGCCATCAGTGCTCCCATTCTGTCACTGAGACACGACCCAGGCACGTCTCTAGTTAAGTGTCTCTCTGGAGAAAAGCTGTTTTTACCCCCTGACTTATGGGTGTGTGGGTGTATTCAACCAAGAGGCTTCCTAAGAATTTTTATGTCCTTCTGCTCGTGACTGTTTGGGTGTGTTCTCCAGAGCGGTCCCAGGGCAGGCAGAGGGCCTGTGGTAGGAGGTCACTCCTGAGCGGATGCTGTGTTCTGTGCTGGAGGAAGCAGACCCCGAATCCTACTTGAACATTTAACTGTGACTATAAACCTGTTTGCAGGGTGTCTGGAAAGCTTCCCCTGGCACCAGGGATGCTCAGGAAAGCCAAAGGAGGAATGACAGTGATGCCGCCATCAGTTGAACACCTAGCACATGCCAAGCACTTTGCATACCTTAGCTCATTTACTTCTCCCAGATGATCCCATGAGGTCAGGTAATATCAGGTCCAGTAGGGATGCTTACAATTTCTCAATCAAGCAGTGAGCAGTGGGGAAAAGATCTGGCCATGAATTGTCAAGCACTGTGCTAGATGTTTCACGTACATTCTTTTAGCTAAATCCCTGAGCAAACCTGTGATATTCAGAGTGTTCCTTGGACAACTCAAGGAAAGGGGCTTAGAAAGGCTTAGAGCTTTGTCAGCCTTGTTATTAAGTCCACAGAGTGCCAAAGACCCACTGCTCACTCCTTCACACTGCAGCATGCCGTCCATCCTAATGTCTCCCCAACAAAGTGTGTAAGAGGGGGCTGAAAGGGATCACATAAATAAGACTAGTGTCTGCAAATACTAACTGATAGAATCAAAAAGGGAGAGAACGATCCAACATGGGAAGCGAGATACACAGCAGATTCATAGAATGGCAGATGTCCTAAACAGCACTCTGGCCTCAGAATCAGCCCTTAAGGCATGCAGATCCGCTGAAAAGCCCATGAGAGTATTTCAGGCAAGACACTCTGGAAAAAAAAAAGAAAACCTAAATGAAAGATCTCCACAAGTGAGATCCCAGTGGAAAGAACAGGTCATCAAAGAAGGAGGTACCTTTCTCTGAAGGGAGGAGAGAACTTCCACTCTGACTATGACCTTGTCTAAATATGATCAGAGTCGGTGAACTCAAAAGGCTTCCATAGCCTTGGCAACTCATGACAAGA